CTCTGTAGAGATTCTTCTGAGAAGAATCTAGCAAAGCCCATTCCTCCTGGGTAAAGTTCACAGCCACATCCTCAAAAGCCACGGAGTCCTAGAACATTCCACACATGTGGATAGAAGGATGGGTGAGACTGACAGCACTGGGAATCTATACTCAATTCGTAAGCTGTTTACATGATTCTAAAATTTCCAAGCATTTATTCTATGACTTGATTGTCACAACTGTAACTCTGTTCACACATACTCCCTCCCACACAGCAGTATTAATGCTAGAATTGAACTATTCAAAAAGGCAACAGCAAAGTAGAAACACCCATCTCATTAGAGAATCCAAGGAGTAAGATGTGCTGCTAGGAGTTACCTTTTAACTTCACTTTGTACATTTCTAGTATCTGTCATAATAAAGTCCTACCTGATGTGCATAAGGGAGTTAATATTATCAGTCCTGAGACTCTTATTCTTAAAAATGCCTGCTCGCAAAGTTCAATCTTTGTATTAGTAACTTACATTTTGAAAGGGATTCCACCAACCTAAGTAATAAGAATGACTCACTGCATCTAAACAGCTTATGCAATGTATTTGCCAAAACTTTTTCTGCTGAAGGTCTATTATTTTATGTCACTGCAGTGGTGCTTAGGGAACCAGACACCAAAACACAGTCTGAACATGAAGCGTTCAATGAGTTTCCCTGGAAGACAATATTTTACATGTGCTGTCACTTGTTAACTGGGGAGTTGAGCCCATTCCATGTAATTACACCAAGAAAGAATAGGCTTATTAAATTTAATTTAGTAAATAAAACCAATAATTGATATTTAACAATACTAATACAACAATTTAAAAAATTTCTATTGCACAATGTCAAAGCAGAAAGGAATAAGAGGAAATATGGCACATGTTTTTAAAAATGACATTAATGTCACCACTTCCAGATGCTATTCTTTTGAAATCACATAAATTCCCAAATCAGGCTTTTTTAGGCAAGAAAAACTACTTTTTCATACCTAGTAAAAATGACAAATGTCTAATGATTTTTAGTCATCTAAAAAAAGAGTGATGGCTTGCCTAACATACTTCCAAGATTTTCAAACAAAAATATTCAGGACAGCACAGTATTAGCAGAGAGATGAACAAGCACAAGCAGACCAAGGCAAAAAAAGTCTTAATGACCCAGCATTTATATGGAAGGTTGATGAATGATAGAGTAGGCACTGTAGAATAGAAAAAGAAATCACATGCACTCTAAAATATGAGGCAAACCAGGCTGGCATCTACTTGGGAAAATGCGTTGCATTCTTCTCTATTCCATGAACAATAATCAACTTATTATATATTAAATATGAAAGATAAAGCCAGAACACTTTCAGAAGTCACAGGAAGATTTTTTTTTTTTTTTTTTTTTTTACGAAGGATTAGGCAGATTTTTTTTATGGAAGAAAAAAGTGATAAAGGAACAAACTGAAACATATTAAAATTTAGGGAATAAAAAGAAAACAGAGTGGGCCAGGCACGGTGGCTCACGCCTGTAATCCCAGCACCTTGGGAGGCTGAGGCGGGCAAACACCTGAGGTCAGGAGGTTGAGACCAGCCTGCCCAACATGGCAAAAACCTGTCTTTTTTGTTTATTTGTTTTTTGAGATAGAGTCTCGCATTGTCACTTGGGCTGGGGTGCAGTGGCAAGATCTTGGCTCACTGCAACCTCCACCTCCTGGGTTCAAGCAATTCTCTTGCCTCAGCCTCCCGAGTAGGTGGGATGACAGGTGCCTGCCACCACACTCACCTAATTTTTTTGTATTTTTACTAGAGACAGGGTTTCACCATGTTGGCCGGGCTGGTCTGGAACTCCTGACCTCGTGATCCGACCACCTTGGCCTCCCAAAGGGCTGGGATTACAGGCATGAGCCACCATGCCAGGCCTAAAACCCCATGTTTACTAAAAATACAAAAATCAGCTGGGTGTGGTGGTGGGTGCCTATAATCCCAGTTACTCGGGAGGCTGACACAGGAGAATCATTTGAATCCAGGAGGCGGAGGTTGCAGTTAGCAGAGACGGTGCCACTTCACTCCAGCCGGGCTACAGAGCAAGACAGCATCTCCAAAAAACAAAAAACAACAACAAAAAAACCTTCAGATATCCACATAAGAGGATACAGATGTGTCCACTGTCATAAATTTTCTTCACCATGCTACAAGAGGGGAACTGACATTTTGGTGAATCTTTGTAAATCATCAATTTATCTGTCACACTTTTATTTCACCAGTAGCATTTACAAAGCTAAGTCCTACAATTCCATTTGAAATTACCCCTAAAAAGAACAGACCTTTAAAAGTTACTACACTCACCCTGGGGAAGAAATAAATACGAATTTTTAGCAAATAAAATAAGAACAGACCTTTAAAACTTACCACACTCACTCTGGGGAAGCAATAAATATGAATTTTTAGCAAATAAAATGCATCATTTTACCTTGCCTCTTTGGAAATAGTATTTTTATCTTTCAAGCTGTACTGACAAAATGTACCACAGTCAATGAAAAATTGAAACTCAAATAAGCGGACAAGCCTTTTCGAGGTAACAAACTTAGGGAGGCAGTGCTGACTCCAACACAGACCTTTCTAAGTGTCACGGCAGGCCATTCTACCCCTCGGGACACCCATCCTGTTCAGTAAAGTACTCAGTGACCACCTGGGAGGCACTGGCACTGCTCTTTGTCCTCCTGTGCGTCTTCAGTGCATTTTCATGTTCAGGTTGTTGCACATCCTCTCTGGGGTGGGTTTTCCTTGTCCTTTGGGACAGTTTTTCTCTCTTCACAAGTCT